AAGGCGAAATGGTGGCCGATAGTGTAACCTGTAGCGGGTTCGAGTTCCACCTAGCGCGAAAGTTTTGCTTATAAGCCAGCATTCTTGCGAAGTGAAGAAGGATTTCTCAGACAGGTTTGCTGAATCTCACAAAAGCTAAGCTGAAAGAATTGGCACCTGTCTATAGAGTAGGGAGAAAACTGTGAAGCATCTACCTAACGATCCTTCACAATTTGAAGGTAACTTCTTCGACCATTCATTCGGTCACCAACTTGGCCTTGAACGTGAACGAACGAGCAGGACTCACTTGAATTAGAATCTAAACCAAAGGATATTTAAACCATAATCTATTGTATGAAAGCGCTAACTGTTGAGGCCAACACGACCCACAAACAAGCGCCCGCGTGTGTCGGTTTGTGTATCTGTATGTGTGTGTGTGTGTGTGTGTGTGTGTATGTATGTATGTGTGTCCGTCCGCAAAATGAAGTGAGTGAGAAGGAAGCTCATGGGATAAACAAACCGCTAACAAATCGGGTAGCTTACAGGATTTGAGATATCAATGTTTTGTAGCAGGATAGTTGTGATAACACTCTTAGGGCTATATAAACACCTGCTTAGCACACTTCCGTTCATTCCACATGGTGCTGCAGTGGCAGCTGGAGGGCAGTGGAGAGAGGAAGGGAGGATGAGGAAGGGAAGCGAAAAATCTACCGTCATATCATGATTGTGTCCCTTCTACTGTATGAAACACCATTGTGTTGCATACGCGTCACTTCCAGGAGGTGTTGGTGTCACAGGAGGAAGGGACCATAGCGGAGGATAGAAAGCTTGCGCAGGAAAGGAAGGTCCCGGCGGTTGACGGGGGACTAATCTGGTTAAACATAAAGAAGGAGAATAAAGAATACCCAACTTTTAAACGAGACTGTTGTTAGAACAAATCGAATAAAAACTGTACGGCAGCACCCAGGCCCCAACCTGAATAGAATAAATGGGCAGGTTTCCGACATCAACTGAAGACGATGAAGAGCGCTCATGCCGTGATGACTAACTGACGGATGAGAAAAGGTTGGCGCGTGACCTGTCGCCTTCCTGAAAATTTTCCATTATGTTCCATAGAGCTCCGGTCGGATTCTATCGATTTCGAGATAGATTGTTTTGAATATGCATGGATTTGTTCGGCTGTAGAGGTACTTAAGCGCAGTAAATATGGGGTTGTTTAGAAAATTTCTTCCGGTTTTGAGCATGCATTCAAGTGGACATATCGAAAAGCAAAACGACTTCGATCATAGTACAAGTGGTTAGTACTCTCACACATTTTCCTACAAAATGGATACCGGTCGGGCGGGAAATTCCGTCATCACCTTGGATTTCGAAGAACTCTTACAGTACAAAGAGGTTATCCAGACTGTTGTAAAAGTTGTAGCGGATAGGCAGGAGATTTTTCGGACAAGATCTTGGCAAGATTTGAGTAGCCTAGCTTTTTGCAGTGTTGGTGCGGCGGTATGTGTTCAAGGCACATCGTCTCGGAGTCTCGGCACCTTCAAAGAGCCCTTGTTCGAATCAGGGTCTGTCCTATTGTTGCTACTTTTCAACCCCCCTCCCCCATGAAATGTTTCATACGACCCCCCCCTCCTTCAAAACCAATTTATGCCCCAAAAAATTACCGTCGAGCGCGGGGAGGGGGTATAGAAAAAGCAAAATTTCCCTACATTTCCTACAACGTCCATGTACCCTAAAATCCCATAGATAAGAGCGGTTTAATTTACCGGGGAAAAATGAATTGGAATGAAAGTGAAATTG